TAAAGAAGTATAATAAGTCAATGATTTTTATATTTGTCTTTTGAAAATGTCACCATTTAAAGTGTTAGGAATTACTATTTCTAACACTGGGTTTTCTTTTGCTGAACTTATATTTTACTTCGAAGTTGATTCTGTTGCTGAAATATTAGTCCAGAAAATTTTGATGACATTTTGAAGCACTGATTGTTAGAGTGATCGCTTACTGTGTAATATAACATTTTTAATTGTCTAGTTCCGCATTGTTAAATCGAGAAATAGTTTTTGAAGTTTAATATGCTGTAATTGGATCTTTAAATTATTTGTATATCATGAGATCGGGTTTTGTTCCAGAAAACGGAAGTGCATTTATTAAGCACAGTTGCTGATAACTTTTCAACCTTTTTGTGACATTAGGGCAACACCTCAATTTATCAAAGAATATTATAGGGTAGAGTTTTCGTAAAATTTAACTTCGTGTACACTGGAACTATCAGAGTAAAGTAAGATATCAAACATACGACCTATATTTGGTTGTTGTAGCCACCTACTGTATCGTTCGTTTAGGATGCTGCACTGATGCTTAAATTTAGTTTTATCCTTCTTGTTTGTAGAGAGTTGTGCAAAAAATGTGAACCAAATATTTAAGTCGTTAACTCTGATTTAGGGTAAGGAAACTTATTTACTTGTATTATGTTACAGAATTTGTTGTTGTCAGTGGTGAACCGTTGTTTTTTCTAATTGAGACACCGCAAAAATTAGCGTACACGTATGAGATACGTTCATCGGACGCGATTGGTGCGCGGTTCCCATCGACACCGTTTAAAAATATTCCACTAAGATATGCGGAACCATCTCACGCTTGCTCTCAAATTCTGCCTCTTTTTCAAGATGCTGTGCTGATAGAAAGAGGGTAAGTTAGGATGTACTCACTTTTTTCTTCAATACCAAAACTGCGTGGCGGTAGCTGTTTTAAAGAATTAAGTTGATTGTAATAACTTTAATTAGACTTGTTGAAAGAAAGAATTTTGGATTTTGTAAACATAACCTTTTTTTCAGCAGTTAGCTGAACCACTTTACTTATATTACCTTACTCCGAAGTTTTTTACAATGATTAGGCATTTTTTTTTTTGCAGATTTTGTTAGGATTCGCTGTAATATATTCCTAATAATTTTTGTTCTTATACTGCAAACCAAAGCCCTCTAAAACATTTAAAACTGTTAAATTCTGTTCTTGATTAACGGTTTTAAGAGATCTTAAACTTTGCAACATTTTGTATAGAATTTTTGAGACCTTTTGATAAAAGATTTATGAAGGATGCAGTTTTATTGAGGTGATCATTATTTTTCAACAAATTGAGTGCATAACTTTTTGTTCAAAATCGATATATTTTTGGACATTGGTTGTCAAATGAGTTCCATTTCAATGTTGCTTTGTCTTGTTCTTATAGGTCTTGTCCTTTCATCACTAAGGCGTTGTATGCTAGTAAGGCAGGTGCAAGAGTGGCTATAATAACTGAATCGTCTTCAGAATCTTCCAAATGGATCGACATGGTTGGTGATGGCAGCGATAAAAAGTCTGACATTCCTGTAGCTTTTCTACCTGGTGCTTCAGGGTAAGCATTCTGAAAATTATCATCACTTTCAGAAGTACCAAGTAAGAAATAAAAATTTTTTTCTTGAGTCCAAAAGTTGTGTTAACACTTATATGTTTTTGTATCCAAGCTAACAGTTTGCAGTTTCGTCAGGTTTGTGTCTTGGCAATGAATCTCTAAATCCCTTGTTAATGCGGAACAGTCATGTTGATTGTAACAGTTTGTTTAGAAAGAGAATTCGTGATTATCTAATGTATGGTGGTGGGGAAGTTCGAATAACCATTCCTCTGAACCTTTCGAAATTCGACGTTAGGACGTATCAAGCAAAACCTCCATGGGAACTCTGGTAAATGGTATTCAGGAGGATAGGTCACCTTAAACGTCAAAAAATTGTGACGAAATGACCAGTTATGTCAGTTGCCTGTGCTGGTAAATTGTTATAGTTTAGAAGTGGTATTTCGCATTATCTGTCGAGAGAATAATTTTGAAGAATTTGCTTTGTTAACAGGCCCTACTGTCTTTTTTACTTTTTGAGAGGTCTCATATAGTTTTTTGATTCTTTTCATCTATTCACTTATAAGTAGTTTATAACATTTCGTTTTATCATTTATAGAAGATCTTTGATGTAACTGCGCCACGTGTCATGCTGTTTGTACTAACCTCTAGTGCTTCATGATCAGTATTTTAATGACTGATTTATTTGGCTAATTTTCCTTCACTAAGTTATGGGTATCTTTATTTTTTCACTTGTCATGCTTTGATTTGGTCCTCTATATATGTAAAAGCAGCTTAGTTGTTTCTTTTTTAGGTTGTGTTTGCTTCGTTATTTCTTGAAGTTTTTTTAGTCATGTTTCCTGCCTGAATGTTATCCTCAATCGCCTGTAACCTTTTTGCCTGTTGAACGACTTTTCTGCTCAAAACTCGCTTTCAGTGTTTATTTCCATTATATACGTATTTCATATTTAACGTCCCCTTACTATGCTGTCTTAAAGTTCTGTAGGAAAGTAGGGATACTCAAGAAAAAATGTCAGATCCGAGAATGAGTAGTGTTCTAGAAAGAAAAACAATCCTCAGGTGATATACTGAATTTCTACTCACTACTCCAATTGATTTTCCATTCTACTGATCACATCTTTGAATAAACGTCCAGAGTTGGGAACTGAACTTTTGTAACAGTGAAAGAGCCTCGTTAACTGAATCGGAAAAGCGATTAACATGAAGTTTTCCTTCCATGAGGAAACAAGTTAAAGTTGTAATTTATTCATGTTTTTTTAAGTCTAGAATTTCAGTTCTAGATTTGTGTACCTGCGCAGACGTTTCATGTGAAAAAGATCAAGTCACCAAATGCGTTAGTACCATTTTTCATTTTATGAATTACGTCATCGAAATGGGATTATAGTCCCTTATGAACGAGGAGAACGGGGAAAAACGTCCGAGGGTTGAAGTGGTCAGTAGCCGGACTGTATATAAGATTACGAAATGATTCATGGGAACAATTTGTGTTTCTTTTCAAAAAACTAGTCTTTTCGACTTCCAGATTCGGTGAATATGTTTCATAAAGACTCAAGGGGGCGCAACATGGTCCTGAATTAACTGCTATCATTCACTACAAACCTGGGTTTTTGCTAGACATGGAATGAACGGAGAATGACTACCACTAACAGAAATAGAAGTGAATTTGAACGCGTGATGGCAGTATGCCAGATTCATACAGTTCGTTTTGATAAAGAAAATCGAGCTGCAGCGATTCTTTGTGTTGAATTGGTTCATTTTTAGAAAGTCACCTTTATCGTCCTCAAATTTTAGAGCCATTGTTTGTCCAATTTAGCATATTTTTTTTGTCAATAAGTGCCTATGGATGCCACGTTGAGGGAACCGTCTTATCTTTACGAATGGCCAGAATCGGATCGGTTAAAGAAAGTTCTTTACGTTGAATCTCCTAAACTAGAGCACTGTTACACGATGCCTGGCCTTAAGTCAGTTTTATTGAATTTTGATCATACAAGCTGTTCACTGTTTAACATGTTGCACAAGTTTGATTTGATGACTGAATCTGTAACTATGTAAGGTTTTACAAGGTCCGGTTCCTTAATGGAGGACTTGGTTGCCGTAAAAGCTGGAGAATTGCTTCAGAAAACTCCGTCTCGTCCATCGGTTGCGCCTAATATAGAAGGTCTTAAACAACTTATTGTACGTACATCTAAATTTATTTGTTGTATTTCAATAGCATTATGTAATGTTGGTAGTATTCAAAAAAGAATCATGTATTTTTTAGT